AGCCTGGTTTCTGCAAGCAGGAAAAAACGGGGCTAGCACTTGACTTAACATATTGGGGTTTTGTATGGCTTAAATACGGGTTGCAATTTACAGCACCGGGTTATTCATTTGGAACCCGGGTTCTCAGTAACACCAAGTGAACACCCCTAGTTCTCCATTTGCACCTTGCTTTTTTCAGGGCGGGGCAATTCAATAATATAGTTCTTTGGACCCGACAATTGTGTTTTCCCTTTGATTTCACCTTAAACCAACCTGAACATTGTACCTCCTTGCTGGCCCCTACTCCAAATATACAACACATCCTTGCAAATAATTATACACTTACCCCCAACTCCCAATACCTGTTTTTAGGTGGAACTTTCGAGGAAAAAACAACCTCTGTTTTTCCGTGGTGAATGCCTCCTTTACATGATGCCAGCTAAGCAGAACGGTATTTCGTGCCCGCCCAACGACTGCTTTTACCCACGTCCAACTTTCAAGTACTGGCCAAAACACAGTTGTTGGGACTCGGTCCTTGTTGGAGGCTGGGGCACAAAAAACAGCCGTGGTGGTTCATCAATATTCCTGTCCCCAAATGACCATGGACCATGGCTAACTTTTCCCATTTAGTGGTTGAAGTATCAAATCTTTTTCGTGGTTATCCAACCACTGGGCATTCCATGTATCACGGACCTTTTGATCAACCCCCCCGTAGAAAATGGCTCCTCGTAGATCTGGTTGGGTCTAACGAGTTTATGGCATTCGTCCATGATCACGATTTGGCAGTTGTTGGGAGTCGGGTCTGCAAAAAGGCATGTGGGTGTTGATCAATATTCCCGTCGGCCCCCGAATGACCATGGATGTGGTCGAAGTATCAAATATTTTTTCGTGGTGTTCCAACCAATGGTCATCCCATGTACCCTTCCACCAACTAACATGGAACCTGACGCTCCGGGGGGGTTCTGGTTTGGACCGTTTTCGTTTTAAGGGCGGCGGTTCCCGAACGTCAGAAGGCACCTCGCTTAATTATATAATAAACTGGGGTTGATTCATATGGGGTCAACACTACAGCTGGCAGTTGTTGGCGGGTGCTGGTTGGAGGTTACCGCGGGGTGCAAAAACAGAACTTGTGTCCATAGTGGGTGGCAGGGTATATAAAGGACCGTTTGATCCATCCTTTTCTAATTGGTGTCCGTCTTAATTGGTCCAAAAAGGACCCCCACAAACAACCACCGCAGGTCTGCGCAGACGGAGGTGGTTCAAGCCATCGAGCACCGGTCAATCGCCTGGGGAGACATGGGTTTCGACGGTTTTGGGAGGCGAAGAGCGGCCCTTGCTTGGTGGCTTTCAAACGGAACACCCAGCCGGAAAACCGATAAAAATCGGTGCGATTGGTGGAACCCCTAAGAAAAAGATGCCGAATATCAGATTGTACTTTAGGTATATTTGAAAAAAAAAAACACAAAACGGCATGTGTATCTCCTTTTAGGGGTTGAAGTCATTCCTATCCCGAAAATAGAGGTATTTATTTGGAGTACCTCCAGATGGGTGTGCCATGTTTTTGAGGATACCCTTGTCTGGTTGGCTTGAAAGGGAACCGAAATGGAGAACCACCATTGTTTGGGTCCCCTATATCAACATGCCAGTCCGTGATGGTATTCAGCATCCTTTCTAGCCAGGTTGACGAGTCATACCCCAAGCTGATTGTATTTGGTGTAGGTTCCATTCATGGTTGTCACCAATGTAGCCAGCCCTGCCATGTCAATAGAGGTGAAAAGTACCAAAGGGCTACAGTGGCGTTGCTCGCCTGGAAGCACGTGTGGATGGGGGGGTGTACATGACAGGGGGCAAAAGGGAACTGGAAAAGGCAGTGATGAAAGAGGAGCCACACCCAGCTCGCCTTCGCACTTCCTGAGTTCCTGGGCTTGAAACTTTTTTGGTCAAGACTAATTATGTTGGTGTCAACCAACCAATTTGGATTGTATGGCCAACCCACTCAGGAAGGGAGCCTTGTTCAACCAGCAGGCTTGCGGAAAATGGGTAGGTTGTCACTTTCGTGGCCGAGGGACTTCTGGTGAGAAAGTAGCTATCAGAATCGAACAGGTTGCGTTTGTTCGGGGTCTCTAGGCACAGAAAGGGGGGGGGGGGGTTTTCGAGCAAAGATGGAGTCGGAAGATAGTTTCCGTGTACCGGATGCGGGCCAAGAGATGCCCCTCATTGAAGTCTATCCCAGTGGCCACAATAGATACACATGCTTATCTAGATTTGACGCGAGGATGTCTTTCTGCAAGAGAACGTTGATGCCACAATCCCCTTTGAATAAGTAGAAGGGGATGCCCAAACCAAAAGGAATTGTGCCATCTACTTTCCAAGCAAACCACAGGAACCTTGTTCGCTTTAAAGACACCCTACTTTTGCGAGTACCGAAAGCAAAAGACAAAGTATTACAAGCGCGACACATATGGGGTACCCTAAGAATCCAGAACCCCTGGCTTTATCCCCTGTAGCCTCCACATACCAACCGCTTTTTCAGTTGGTATTTCTTGAAAAGCCATCGGTTTTCCATGGTAGATACAGGAGCGCCGTGACATGATACCCAACTAAAGCAATGCGTTTTTCCAGGAACCCCTTGGGGGCCCTTGGGGGCCTTTGAATGCCCCCAAAGGCCTCAAATGAGGTCCAAGGTTTTTTGAGCTCCAAGCCGCTGGGGACGTTTTGGAGGGAGGCCTTTCCTGAGCCCCGTGCTCAAAACCGATTCGGGTAAATGATCCGGTCAAGGGACAATCCCCTTGCCACAAAAAAATGCTGCGGAGATCCGCCTTCTGAAAGTTATTGAAGCATGGTTCTGGGGATCGACCATTTTAATACCGGGCTTTGGTTATGACTCTCCTTCGCCTTGAGGCTGGCGCACTTGGCTGGGATCCAGGTGGGTTGCAGCTCGTGTGGGGCATTTTCAATCCGAACTTCCAACTGGCCAAAGAGCAGCTGTTGGGGGGGGTGCTGACATGGGTATTTTGCTTGTGGAGTGACAGCTGACGTTCGTTGTTGGGGTCCAGATTCCCATTTTGACACACACCCATATGTGCGGTCAACAAAAGCTCCAGTGGGTCAATTGGGGAAGGGCATGAGCGATTCGCTAAGCTTTAACCACCAAGCCCCAAAGGACTCCAATATCCTTTGGGCAAACAAGTCCTTTTTGTCTGTGGCTCATATGGGTGCGCCTTTTGCGGGGAGTTCCCTCATTTGGGGTCCGGTTTTGAAGGGATACCAAAGGAAAGTGGGCTTCCCCGTTTTGATTGCGACACAAACCTATCGGAAGCGAGTGGGCAACAAGTTGACAACCCCTGTAATTTCCAAAAGGATTGCTCGCTTTTAGGGAAAAGCACCACACTGTGGAGGATGAGATTCTGCACCACCTAAGAAACCCTGGGTTCTGATTCGATTCCCCCGTAAATACAAGCATTGGTTTCCCATGGCTTCATTTCGTGGTGCGAGAAGCGGATTTCGTCCAGCAGTGTCACACCATGCCCAGCCAGCTTGAGAGGTGCAACACTTGGAGAGGCTGAACATGGTGCGCTATTCACCTGGACAGCTCTTCAACAGGCGCTTCATGGCGGGGTCCGGCGTTGCGGAGCCGGACGTTTCGGGGATTTAACTTTTGACACCAATTTCTAGGAAGAACCTGCGTTTTTGTTGAAACAACTTGAAATCGAGCAGCCTTTGGAGGCTGCAGGATTGAAGGTCAAGGTTTACGACATATCATCTAGTGAACCATCTCCAGGAAATTACCCGGAAATTAGCCAACTACCCGCAACCACGGGTGGGGGCTAACTTCGTGGAGAATTTCCTGGAGATGGTTCAAACAAATATGGTGGGCAGCATCGGACATTCCCCGATAGTCGAAGTCCAAGTACGATTTGTTGTTTTGCTTTGAAAACCGTGGGGTAAAAACACTTACCTCTTAAAAACATTTTTTTTCTCAACTTTTTGGGTAACATGGGCTATATGTCTGTAAAAGATGAGAACTTCCCCAGGGCTTGGAGTTTTAAGGGATAAGAACAAGACAACACACCGACCAACTAAACAAAAGCGCTTGGGTCTTTGGAGCTTTCGGGGCGGCTTTGGTTGGGCCCAAGGTGCCTGATGTCTGATACGATGCACCTTCACTGGTACGCCAGGCACCACGACGGGCGCTTCAGGCCCAAGACAGGCCGAGCGAAGTGAGTGGTATTCTTGGGGCATTTGCTTCCATTTGCTTGAGAATATATATATATATATATATTTTTTGTTTCTTTAGTTATTTCCCCTGTTGATTTTAAAGGGAATCGGGTTCGCTACTGGAAGTATTTGTTTCTCATGTTTTCCAGGGGACTCGTTAGCAAATGGATGCGCTCACCAGCACCCGGGTGCGTTTCAACAACTGCTTTTTTAAGCATGGCCAAAATTCTGTGTACTGTCCAAAAAGCAGTTGTTGGGTGGTGCTGGAATTTACACATTTCTACAGGTTGCGTCCAACCGCTGTTGAAGCAACCATGCTTTCTTTTGAAAACCGAGTAATCTGTTTCCCAACTGGGTTTTTGAGACGGTTTCCAGAAAGGAAGAATCCCTGGAAAGAATGGGGAAGCTTCCCCTACAACATTCCTCTCCCGTGATGATGAGGTAGTTTGGTTTTAAAATACAATTGGGTGTGTCTCTTTTAGAATTTGGACCCCCAAAATTGTGTTTGGGTTTCCTTCACAACCCAAAAAAATATAAGGGTACCGGTTAAAAAGATCCCCCCAATTCGAATGGCTCTCAATGAATCCTGCCGCAAGATTCCCTTCGGGTCTTATACAGGATGCGGGTTCCACATCAGTTTCGGCATTCGAAGTGAAGTGAGTTTTCTTTTGGGGTGAGGTTCTAGGGATAAATGGGTGTGTCGTTTTTAGGGGACTCACTAAAATGGTGGCTTGCTTTCCTGTTGGTTTCTTTTTGATACCATCAAAAAGGGGTACCCCTCAGGACGACACACCCAAATAGAGGGATCCTTTCGTTGCGCTACTCGCTTCGCCCGACGCCGGCCATCAGTCCGCTTCAACGGAGGGTTTAGAGAGCCGAGACGAGCGCGTCGTCATGTGCAGGCGCCTGGGCGGAAGTGGACGGGGAAGGTCTGAGTAGATTCGTCATTGGCATAAGTGTCGGCAGAAGTGTCCTCCCCACTGGTTCTTTGGGTTAGAAACAGATGGGTTCCACTGGTTTAGATTCGTCTTACCAGGGCCATCAATGTTACCAAAAGAACACCTATGGTCATTGGTTTCCTTCATTTTCTCCTTCAACGTGCCGAAGTCAACTTTTCGTAGGTGGTCTATGTCTCGCCCTGCGTATGGCAAATATTCAACAAGGACCTAAGCTGCCACAGGTCACAGGCGATAGGTGCACAGGGAATTCACCTCGGTCTTGCCAGCGGGTTGTTTGGAGGTAGGGACCACCATTCCCAGTGACCGCTGCTTCATTGGGTTTGTCTCGTTCAGTCGTGACCACCCCAAACATTGAAGGGCTTTGTAGGGAAAGCAAAAGGAAGCCATCCAGCAAAAACTGGGAGTCCTTTTAAAGGACCCTTGTGGGTGTTATTCTATGCCGGCCCCGAACAACACGTCGAGCGGAATCATGTTGTCAGTTGCGTTTGTTTTGGTGGCGCGCGGAGATCGCTAAGGTAAGCTCTCCAAGCCATGGCGCGCTTTGGCGTGCTCTTGCTGGCGCGCGGACGGGACGGGCAACAAATCCTAGCAGCACCCGATTCGGTCCGTCCACTCACCCGGTTGGGTTTGTCGCTCGAGCAGCTAAACACTTGCTTGTCCGAAGATCCAAGTAGAGACATGGGGCCTCCAATGTTTCCACTGGATTCTAAGAAGGCGAGCCCTTATCCCGTGCCCATGATATGTTATCCAGGTTTCCACATGCCAGGTGTCCGCGTTTCGCCCACGCCCTGGCCATTGTTTTGCGGTTAGCACAGAAATTGGTACCAACCCCAGGGCCCCGGGCCAAAATGGTGTCCAACCAATTCTCGGAAGTGGCTGACACGTCCAAGTCGCGATGTTCTGTACCTCTTGGGTATGCCAAGCGACTGTTGCTCGCTATGGGAGAGGAGTTTCATCCACCCATGCCCTGTGGTGTCCAGTCTATGGTCTTGGAGCGAAATGGGGGGACGAGCTCCAAGTTTCTGACAACCGGGGGACTCCATGCCTGGGAGTGCAAAGCTCAGGGTGGTCCTTAGGCTAGCTTTGGACGCGGGGTGTGTCTTCCCCTGTTTTGGTTGGTAGCAGCGGATGCCAAAAGGAACCGTTGCTGTTCTGGAGGCCCCCGAGTTGTTTGAAACAAACGCGTGCCCCCTGGAAAGGGTTTTTCCGTGGAGGTACTCCAACCCTCTCCCAAAAAGCGGTAAGGGGCCGCTGGCTGCATCCAGGTTCTACTGACGCGAACGGCTTCTGCGACCAAAGCTTCTCGTATGAGACTGGCGTGGGCAGTGAGGTCACGAGCATTCATATCTATCTCGACCTTGAAGCAACCCCCCTTTGGAAGCCGGCTGCTGGCTGGACAGGATTTTGGACAAGGAACGAATTGACAGCTGAGCCCCAGAATTTATGGCTGTCTACTAATACTGTGGATGGACGAAATCCTGCACCACCTAAGAAACCCTGGAATGATGGTTCCCCTGCAAGTATCAACAAACAATGGATTCCCATGGTTTCAAAGTGGTGCATGATTTTGTCCATCCACAGTAGTGTAGACTCTCTAGACACGTCATAATCCCTTTTCTGAGGCCGTGCAGTGTTGGCCACCAAGAGTTCTTAGGGTGGATTGAGCTCCATTTCCACTGTGCTGCGCCGGACACCCCCATTGGCCATTTTAGAGGAGTTACAGGAAGAGGAGCCTGTCCAAGCATTTTGTTGGAACCCAAAATCAACGGGTTTGGGCTTTGTTCAACTTGCTTGTTTGGCCCCACTTTCATTGTTCTAGGGCTACCTTCCCATTCTTTCCAGGGATCCTTTTCAGGAAACCATTAACAACCCAGGGAAACAGCTTGTTTTTGAAAAAAACCGATGGTTGAAGAAGAATGGACAAGGAATCAACCCCTAGAATTGTGCGTCCAGGTTCGCTCCTCTTCGCAGCGGGCTCAGATGCTGCTTTTGCGGCAAAACCTTTCGCCGTAAGGGAGGAACCGTCGAAGATACATCCTGAACATGGGCCACATCCAAGGGGCTTCTTTTATCTTGGTGGCTCCCAGCCATCCGGTTCCTTAGCTTCTCTTCCCCAGAAATAGTTCCCTTTTTGATTTTTAGCTTTTTTGGTGTTCCCTTTGTTTTCCACTACCAGGCAAAAAATATATTTTTTTGCTGGGGTCATAATTCCAGCCAAGTTCTTAGCCTTTTAGTGTTTAGTGGTAGTTTCCATTTAGACCAGTAAAAGTTAAACCTTTAGCGGGGGATCTGAGGGCAGCCCAGTTATGCATGTTTCCTGGCTTTCCTTGGTGGATACAAATGACAATTGTGCATAACCAGGGCCCTCAACACTTTCTTTAATGTGATCACATTTTCCTGTGTGAATGTATGTTCTCCATGCGATTCGCACACTTCATTTACCATAGGTCTCAGATTCCGGCGTGTCTTTTCAGAGGGCACCTTTTCGGGCTTGGTTTCCAGGAACTTCAAAGGAGCACGCCCCAGTTTTGGGGCGCATGTCCATCTGGTTTTTGGTCGAAGGGTGGGTGAGCGCCATGCAGTCTGTTTCCGTGGCAGATGGGTACTCATACACATATGCACATGTGCATGCCAGCTTCAACATTGCCGAAATTTGCGTTATGTAGGAGTGTTCCACGCATATGTTGCAGCTTTTTGTATTTTCTCGGGGAAAAAACATAAGATGATAATGAACAAAAAAAACGATACGGGACGTCCAAAAAACGATGCCCCCAAGCAATGGAAAAACAACTTCCTGAATAAACGGTATGTGACGTCCTAACCCCAGACAATTAAGTTTGACGTTGACTGATATAAAAGATGCATGCATGCATGCATTCATAATCATTCGTACATTCATGCTTTCATTATCATTCATACATTCATACATTCAAGAACATTCATACAGTCATACAGTCATACAGTCATACATTCTTGCATTCATACCTTCAGTCACACATTCATTCATTCATTCATTCATTCATTCATTCATTCATTCATTCATTCATTCATTCATTCATTCATTCATTCAATCAATCATTCATTCATTCATCCATCCATCCATCCATCCATCCATCCATCCATCCAGCCATCCATCCATTCATTCATTCATTCATTCATTCATTCATTCATTCATTCATTCATTCATTCATTCATTCATTCATTTATTCAGTCATTCATTCAGTCAGTCATTCATTCATTCATTCATTCATTCATTCATTCATTCATTCATTCATTCATTCATTCATTCATTCATTCATTCATTCATTCATTCATTCATTCATTGATCAATCATGCATGCGGGATACATACGTACGTTCGTACATATGTACATACATACACACAGGTTTTGTGCAGCCAACCATGATTGTGCGGGTTTCCGATCATCAACACTCACAGATCACTTGAAGAGGGGCTAACTAATAAAAAAAAAAAAAAAAACGTCTTCCCGGGGTAGATGGTGCGGGTCGTTCTTTTTGTTTTTCTCCTTCAGGCAACCGCCTAAACGCAGCGCAACCTTGAAAAGATAAAGCTCTTTTTTCTCTGCCAGCTGAGCCACAATCAAAACCCGGGTAGATGAACCCAGCCAGAAATAGTTGCGGCCGCCTTCTTAATTCTTTGCATGGTTCTGGTAGACCATTTTAATACCGGGTTTTGATTGTGACTCTGACTTTTGGACCCTGCGCGTCGTTCAACAAGTTTGTCCTATTTACTTGGCTGGTCTTGACACCGAATTGACCCTTAGACTTCCAGAGAAGCAAATGGCTTTTCGGTAGATTGCAGAAGGTCTGGCAACCTGTTTTGCTCAGAAGAGCCCAACCCAGTTTACTTGGTTTTACACTACTCTTTCATTTGCGTTTCGGAATACGTTTAATTTTTGCCCCTGGTGATTTTGAAGGGAATCTATCACTATGGAAAATATGTTCACACCTGGAAACTCCTTCCGGCCAAAATTTCAGCCGCGGACCCAAAAAGGCGGCTTTTCCGGCGTCCGCCGGCGGAAATTGTGATCACCCAAAAATCGTGCGGCGATTTTGCTCTTCTGGCGGCGTTTTTCACACGCGGCCTTAAAGAGCATTGCTGCCACGACCTTTGCTTTGACCCATGAGCATGCACCAATGTGACAAGCGTTGATTGTGCAAACCGCCGTTTGTCTTATCATATTCAATATATGCAGCCACAAAGCAGCCTTTTGCAACTTGTAGCCACCGCAGTACCTGCGCATGCCTACCGCCAATCTCTTCAATCAGCGCATGACGCAGCCCTGGTGTATGAATGATGTTTGTTCGATGTTTGTGCCCTCTTTGTCTCCACTGCTTGTGGCTTCAAAGGGCCCGAAAGTGCAGGAATCAGTTTTTGGCTGCATGCACGGTTTAATAGACGGTGTTGTATCTTCTTGGTGTTTCAGGCTACGGCGGAAACACGCGGGCTTACGGCGGAAACACGCGGGATTACGGCGGAAACACGCGTCCAACCAATGGACGTTCTCAGGGCCTTTGATTGTGTTGCTTGATCTCCTTACCTTCGATTCGTGCTGTTACCAGCATCGCTGTGCAAAGCAAGTCTGGTCACAAATGCATTGCCGGCGGAAAATCATGATGCAGTTGGCTATGTAGTTGCGGGCACCAACAGTGCAAAAGCTCGTCTATTGATGTGCAAGTGTTTGCCAATCTTGGCCCACGCATCGTTCTCTGGATGGGTGGGGTCGTTGCTGCGTGCCCAGTTTAACTTTCAGCAGCGTTTGTGAGCAAATCGAAGACATGCCAGTTGGTCTTGCGTTGTGGGAGCAGGTGCTTGGTTCAGTTTATGATGTGCTGAACCAGGCTTTACGGCTGTTCTTTTTGGCTGCCGGCGTGTTTCAGAGCTGCCGGCGATGGTTCTACTTGCGGCTGAAATTCTTGCTGAACGCAAAACGGCTAAAATTTTGGCCGGACGGAGGTTCCAGGTGTTTTTACAGGGGGGTTTCAAGCAACTGGAGGTATTGTTCAATGTTTGAAAAGGAGCCTGAAATTGGACAAAATTCCTCTTTTGCTTAAATTTGTTCTGTTCAATTGCAAAGTTCCAACCTCTTTGCTGCATTTTGCTTGGATGTTAGGACTTTAGCTTTTTGCCAACTAATGGGGTTTGCCCTCTTAAACCACTAAAAGTTAGTCACTTTTAGCAGGGGAGCAGAGTTCGCAACCAAGAGTTGGTACCCTTTGGGTTGTTTCGAAGCAAGCCAACAGCAGGGAAGCGGTCCATTTCAAGGGCCCGGCGAGACGGGCGGCACGAGACGGGCGGCAACCGTCGCATCCGGAGCAGAGTTCGTAACCGAGCTTTCCTTTCTCAGATTCGCCAGTTTCTAGGTCCCCCAGAAATGTGCCCTTTTACCGTTCTTTTCTTTTTGGGGAGGGTTCCCCTGCCCTACTAAAATAGACTACAGAAAAAAAAGGTACCCTACAAAAATAGACTAAATAGACTACTAAAATCCCCTACTAAAATAGAAAAAGGTACCCTCATTCTAAGCTCTCTCTACTGCAGGACCTCGCTTCAATCCCCCCGGCTCGAGGCACGTGCGCGATGGCGCCAGCCCGCTGGGGCCCCCATTTTCTCCGAATCCGCAGAGTCGGCTGAGTCGCGGTGAAGGAGCTGATTGCGAGTGACACATGGGGTGCAGAAATGTATATAACAAATCATACCTGGACCCTCAGGCTACCCTGATATTTTTTCTCACCCATAGTGCTCATATATTTATAAACATACAATACAACCCCTCCGTGGACGACTGGCTTGCTCCCGGCAGGTCCAGACGACTGCAGGGAGCCCAGAATTTTCAGCCCTTTGGGGCAGACCTCCAGAGGCTCACTTCGGATTTGTGTCTTACACCCTGGGATTACGGTACTACAACAGCCCTTAGATCACTTGAGCCACAATCAAAACCTGGGTAGATGATCCGGTTAATAAGGGATAATCCGGTGGCCATAAATAGCTGCGGCCGCCTTCGTAATTCTTTACATGGTTCTGGGGATCGACCATTTTTGTATACCAGGTTTTGGTTATGACTCACTCTAGCGCGAATCTTGTCGATGTCTTTTTTTTTTTTTTTCTTTTTTTTTTTTTTTCGGTTGTTCCCACTCTCAGAGAGGTGAAAATATTGCCTTTTGATTTTGGATCAACTGAGGGCTGAAGGTCTTGGACCTCCATACGGCAGGTCCCAAGATTCCCATGGCGCAAATCTGCACCGGGCTTGCCTCAGGGAGCTACGCATGGAGGTTCTATCAGGCCATCCCAACGAAATGGGCGTGCCGGCTCATGACACGCGACATGATTTCCATGGTGTCCTGTCACGGGTTCACAGAAACTCATGTATTTTGCATATATATATATACATGTATATATATATATATAAATGCCCGGAGAAACTATGCCGGAGCTGACCTCCTTCCAAACTTCTGGGTGGTCTAAGTGAGTCCATTTGCCACTAGAAAACTAATTACTCTTTAGTTTCAGTTTCTGGACTTGTACTTTTCAGGAAGCTCATTCTCAGTGGTAAACGTCAGGTCTCGACTTGTTGGGCCAATCCTCTCAGAAAGAAACCATTCTTAGACCCACTGCAAGCTGACAAATTAAGCGAAATGGGGGTATGTCAACATAGGGGGATCCCAACAACAATGATGTGTTTTTGTGTGCGTGTTTGTTTTTGTGTTCCGTTTTCCGCTTTGTTTCGCATACATAAATAAACTCATGGCTGGGGGGAGCCCAAACAAGCCTCAATAAGGCCTTAAGGCTTAGTAAGGGCTTGTTTGCCTCCCCCTCCCCAGCCCCCAGCCTTCATGATAACCCCACCCAACCTCCCAACCCACCCAACCCCAACCCTCCATGGTACACCCCATGATAAACACTCACCTCCCAGCAAGTGAGTTCGGGGGGTTCGTTGGTTGCAAGCCCCAAACCCATCCTTTCCGACGCAAATGGTGGTCCTCTTGGCAACCAACCCCTTAAAAGGTGGTGGTTTTTCTTCCTTGGCGTCCAAGTGAACCAACCCTTAAACGGTGCACATATTGACTTCACCCCAACCCATTGTCAACCCTCCGCCCCAGCCTTCCACTTGGCTTCGCTTGGAGCGGCACTCGGATCCGAGGCTAAGGGGTCTGGGCAAGGACGGCCTCGAGGCGAGGGCCAGGAGCCTTCGGGAGGAGGCGGTCCGCTCGCCGCTCGCGCCGCGAGCTTCGAGTCCGAAGCCGTCGGCGAAAAGGGGGGGGGTCAGTTGGGCATAGGGAACGGAGCTGGGGGGGAGGGAGCTGGGAGTGGAGTTGCTTCATGTGCAAAAAAGTTGGCACTTGTCTTGGCCGGTCAACTCGGGTCAGGAAAGCTGGTATTGGTTCCTCTTGTGTTAGTTTTGCAGAGGCTCGCTGTCTTCCCTTGCGGCATCCCTGCCCAAGCCACAATTACGTGCCTCCAGGGTGCTAAACATTGAGGTGGGCCGTGGAGCCTCAAGAGCTATGGGGTTGGATTTGTGATCTTCAACTTTGAAGGAAATTTATATGTTCCCCACCAGCACCCTGGTATGCTCCCTCCAAATGTTGGGATTTACGGCAAGTTCCACTGCTTTGGAGATCATGCACTTGGGGATTCGTTCCAACAACTGCTTGTTGGCCAGTACTGAGAGTTTTGGACATGGGGAAAAGCAGTTGTTGGGACTGGGGTGCTGGCACAAGCTGCAAAATGCGAAACTTTTGGGGCAGGGGGTAGTTGCCATCAAGGCACGGGGTTCACTGGTTCCGATAGGCAAGCACGGGTGAGATGTTGAGAGCCTTAAAACCCTTGCTGAATCACCGTTTATGCCGCAAATTAGCATGGGCACGTTGCTCTCCATGTTTAGGGGGGCATATAGACTAGAAGGCTTCATCCATCATGAGGGACTTTTGTATCGAAATACCCCCCCTTCTAATCATGTAGCTCGATTTGTTCCATGGCCAAAGGAAGTGCCCAGGGTATGTCAAGGTTGTACCCAAGAAAGAAGCATGCTTCCCACTTGGCAATAAAGGGAAGACCTTTAGACCAAAGTTTGGGCATGGGGCGAAGCTCCTTTAATTTAGTCATTTTGTTTGGCGAACCCGCTCAAAAGTGGATGTTATACATAAACCCCCACCCAAATCACCTTTTAGGTACCTAGACCCTGAGACTACCCTACAAAAAACGGGTTATTGCCTGAAATTCTGGGGTGAAAACCAATTTTCGAAGGGTAGTTTGAGGCTCCAGGTACTTCAAGTTCCAAACCAGGGGGTCTTTTTGCCACCTTTTGCGAGAAAATTGGTCCTTTTTCCACAAAAGCTAGCAAAAAGACTCCCTTGTGCAAAGCTGCCTCGCATTCGAAGCTTCGCTCGCCGGGCCTCAAAGTTGACTTCTTTCGAGTTCGCAGATCGGCGAGTTGGAAGTCGCCTTGGAGAAGAGCAGCGGAAAGCGTCTTGGGTCAAATTGTTGGGCCGTTTGGAGTGGTTGGTGGGGCGTGTGGGCTTGGATGGGCTTGGTGCGTTTGGTGCCTCGGAGTGGTGGTTTGTGTCCGTTTTTGGAGTTGGCAATTGTCCTTTCCAACACCTTGTTGGTACCAGGGGGCTCTTTTTGCCACTTTTTTGCGAAATTGGGCGACCCCCTCAAAAAGGAATCCTTCACTACAAGGGGGTCGATCATTTTTCCACGAAAGCTGGCAAAAGGACCCCCTTGGAACCCCTGTCTTGGGGCGCGAGAATCCCAAAAGAGACCACTCTTTTGGGGGGTTTCGAGGGAGCTTACAGGGGCCCGCCCCTAGGAGCTTCTTTATACCACGTGGATACTGGGCCTTTGGAACTAACCTTGCTCACATGGCCGGAATATGTCTTCGATTTGAGTTTCGGAATAGAATTTCTTTGCACCTGTTGGTGTTAACGGGCATCTGTCACCGGAGATGTGTTCCCATTTGGTCCAGGGACTTAATTTTCAGCCACTGGAATAATAACTCAATGGCTCGAACCACCCCCCAAATTTGGTGGGTGGACCGGGATGACTCCTGAAATCCTGTGCGCCATTTCGGGACTCTGTGAAGATCCACTGGCAGTTCTCCAGCTGCGCGGTTCGCACTCGGCAGGCCCCATGGGCCACTGCCGTGTCAGGTATCCCCGATTCGGTGGTTTGGTTTTTTTCGGTTTCAGGCGTTCAACCCCTGGCATTTGTAGCCTCCAAACCACTGGCTCCCAGCAACCACTTGGAGGGAAGCGTTGTTGTCTTGTTTTGCGGTGTGGTAAAAAACAACCACAGACTTGGAACGCAAGTTTTCCCCAAACGTTTCGACAACCAGGGGACTCACAAGAAACAATCACAAAACTAGCCAGCACCCGGGTCCCAACAACTGGTTGCTGAACCGTAAGTGGAATTTTGGACGTGGGAAAAAGCATTTGATTGGTGCCAGGCTTGGACAAAAGTTAATTGGTTGAATCCTCAAGGGGCTGGCCCGAGCTGGTACCACATCTTTGTTCGGCTTGGGATTTGTCTTCTTGGAGTTTTCAAGGGAGCGCCCCTGCTTTTGTTTGGAGCTAGCCTTTGTGGGGTAGTGCTCAAGGGAATCCAAGGGAAGATGTCCAGCGAAGGCCCCAGAGGGCCAAAACGGCAGTACTTGGCATATGGTTCCCCCTTGCGAATCAATTGGGGGGTACCTTTGTTTTGTGGATTCAAGGGGAAGCCAAAGGAAAACCACAATTTTATTTTCATTTATTGATTTATGTTGCTTTGGGAGGGGTCTTGGAACACCCCGCTTTTTTCGAGCTGGTACCCTATTTGGGGGGTCAATTTGGCAGGGACACGGGGACCGTTTAAAACAAAGCACGCTAACACCTAGCAACACAAACCAACACTTACGGGTTCTCTCTCATTTCCCATGTACTCTCTGATTTCCCATGTACATCCAGTTCACTGTTCTTGGCATCCGTTGTTCCTTTTGTTTCTGCCTTGACCCTAACAAACTAGCCTTAAAACCTGGGTGATTGCCCCAAATCTATGGCGCAATGACCCATGTTTAAGGGTAGTTTGAGGGTCCAGGTGTTCTTTTTGGTGGGAGGAGCGCTGAAAACGGCTTTCGGGACCAGACACGGTCGCCCTGGATTCGTCGCCCAGGAACTCTGCTAGCCTCGCAGAGCTTGAAAAGCAGCTCGGGCCTTAGGGCGGGAGTGGGTGGGTGGGTGAGTGGGTGGATGGGGTGGGTGGGTGGGTGTGGGTGGGTGGGTGGGTGGGTGGGTGGGTGGGTGGGTGAGTGAGTGAGTGAGTGGGTGAGTGAGTGAGTGAGTGAGTGAGTGAGTGAGGTGTTCAGCTGGGGTTGTCAAAGATACGGTGGATGGTTGCGAAATCCAGAAGTCGCACCACCGTTCAGAAACCCAACGGATTCTGATTCGATTCCCCAGCGTAATTTCCACCGTTATTATGGTTTCAGCCATCTTTTGGTGTTCGAACGGATTGCGTCCATCCACAGTATGGCATCGGTTCCTGTTTGGACCCCACTTCCGGAGAGTGACAAGCCGTGTCGGCTTCTCAAGGGGGCCCACCAAACAAGTTGGCCCTCGAAGAAATTGGACCTCTCCGCGAAATACCACTCCTCACTTCCTGAGTTCATGAACTTTAAACTTTTTCGGAAGACCACTTAGTGGTGACTATAAAGTTTGGCCTTTTTTTGGGCCATCCACTCAGCAAGTGAGACTCTTTTCCCTCGATTAGGAGGGGTCCCTTTTTGCTGGGAATCCACCCAGCTGAGTCGCGGCTTGGTTTGGGCCGAACTCATCCCCAGAACGCCCTCCCGGCCCTTTTTTGAGTCTGAGACATGCCCAGTTGGAATGACCCCAAGCAGAAACATCCCGCTCGGCTGGCAGTTTCCGTTCAGGCAATCCCTCAAAACCAGCAAGTTTAGATAAAGGGGCGAAGCCCGCCCTTTGACAAACCCGAAGAAAATCGGAAAATGGATCGAAGGCTTCTCTGTGGATCGAACCGGGGCTCCATTGAACTGGCGAGACTCGGGCTTGGCTCAGAAAGCTGAAAGAGAGTTGCCTTCGGGCCTAGACAAACAAAAAGCCCCTCGAAAAGGTGTTGTTTGTTGTTTTTCCTTGAGGGCTGCACGTATGTTTTTTGCTAACTAAGGACTGAGAAGCCATAGGAAGCATTCCCCGGGTCGCGAACCTTGTGTGATTGGCTTTTCAGGTATGTTGTTGTGTTTTTTTTTGGCCATGCAAGGACTCCTCAATCCTTTGCACACATCGGGGGACACCACCCAGATTTGCCGATTTTTTTGAGGGAACCTTTTTTGGGGCCTGGTTCTGCGGGAAGCCACAGAAAACAACAATATTTGGGGTCATCTGGACACTTACCCATGTCCTGACAAGTAATTGACACGCTGCGCAAGCCTCAGGTTGGTACTTGCTTGGGTATGGGTCCAAATTGACCAGGAATCGGACCGCAGGGTTTGGTCATTGGTTCTATTTACCAGGGCAAGCCGTTTTGGGGTTACCCTATTTTTCATCCACTTCAAGAGGGGCCTGCTAAGGGGCCTTGGGTTTCCTTTGCATTGGGGCGGTTGATGGGCGCACGGATCCCGAGGCTGAACGATACAGCTTCACAATTTCCAGGACACCTTCCACTTCGCAGCGAAGGCAAGTTCACCTTACTTTCCAATCATTTAAGTGGACAGGAGGGTTTTGGCTGGTCTATGCTTTGGCACTTGATCCTTACCTTGGATTGCGAAATGGGCCAAGACTCCATTTCGAACAGCCCGGTGTGGTAGACCCTCTGGTGAAAGCCTGGCCGTCCACTTCCATTGCGGGCCCGGCAGATCGGTGAACGCCCGGCCATGGCGCGGCTTGAAACCTCCAAATTCTAGGGGTAACTTCTATTTCCATTCTTTCCAGGGATCCGAATCTTTCTGGAAAACCACCAAAAACCCTGGGGAAATGGCGATCGGTTTTGAACAGAACGATGGCTGAAAAGAATGGGGAATCAACCGCTAGACAAACGGCATCCATGTCGCTCCAATGGCCCAAAGCAAAGGGAGCTACGCTGATCTTGTGGTTTTCGTGCTTGGGCCGTGTCACGGTCGCAGGGCGAGGTAGCCTTTAATTTCCGTGTTCCTTGGGATATGCGTATCATTTTATTATGTTTTTTTTTTTTGGGGGGGGGGAGGGTGGCAAGGGGCAAATTGGTGGTTGTCCTTTTGACTTGCCTTTCAACCAACCGGAAAAGGGTCCCCTCGATGAAACACGCCCGCCAATGGGCCCCCCTCATGACACTGTGCAGGTGAGAAGACGCTTGGCGAGAACATCAGCAAGACAGAGGCTGGTTTGACTGGGGACTGCGCCACTCTTCCCCCTCCCCCAATCCGTTAGCACTTGTTCGATGGAGCCGAAGCCGAAGCAGGAAAATCCCCAGATTGAGGATCTCCCCGGGAGAGAAACCCGAATGACGCTCTCAAATTGACTGCGGGCACCTCCAAATGCAGGCCTCGGGGGGGAGCCGTGGGAAGGTTTTGAGGCCTTCCAGGCTTCTTAGTGGCCTTCAAGGCTTCTTAGTGGCCTCTAGCTCTCACTGTTCGTCCCCTGACCCCCTTAGTTAGCGGACTCTAAAGCTTTCTGGTGGCAAGCAACCAGTCCGGATTTTTTGGACCAGTACACTCAGGAAGTGAGTCACCAATAGTCACTAGGCTGCAATGTCTCCCTTACCGTAAAAAATATGATAGAGTCACTGTTATATTGGTAGGTGTCAAAACAGGGGCTCCCTTAAAATGGGTGGGTGTCCTTTGATTTCCCTTTAAGCCAACCCCAAAAAGAGGGTTATGCTGAAAAATGAGAGCCCCTGTATCTTCCACATGCGTATTGGTCGTTCAGACTGCAACTGCCAGGCGCTCATCGCGGATGCACATCAGCAGGTCCTCGCACACGGTGACGCGGGGGCAGCCCAGCGTCGGCTTGTGGCTTGAGGCATGGGTTCAGAGATTGGCAGTTCCCTTAGGGATTTTTCGATCAAGTTGAAGCCATCTGAAAGCTGACTTTGCATTCCTTCGTTTCAAGCACCAACGTTGGTTGGTTCATGCCAGGGAACAGTTTTGACTTGGGGTATTCAGGATGAATAAGCAGGGCAACATGCGTTGCAAACAGGATTTGGAGGACCCACGGAAGGGTAGACGCACCGTAAACCAGTGCAAATGCGGTAAATGCCCTTGATAAGTGAGTGGGGTCTCCATTTCATATAAGCCCGCCTTCAAGACGATTCCATGAGGCTAACATTTTGATACCCCTCCCCCGGCACCTCACAGGTCAGATGGGATTTTTTGCAGCTCTAACAAATCCAAGGGAAATCCCTCTCAAAAGGGGGTTTGGTGCCCTTTTGATTGGGTGCAAAACGCTTTTGAAGAAAAGCCGGCTTTGAAGACCTGCAAAACCCTGAAAGCCTACCCTCCCTTCAAGCATGCAAGCTGACAGGAGGGCGTGGGACGATTTTCCTTAGGACCCTTTTTCTCCACTTCCCTGACTGTTGGCAAGGGGGTATATGACTGTGGCTCAAAAACCGGTACCAAAATGGAACTCTGGTACGTGGAAACATGGACCAAAGCCTGCGTAACCCCTCCTGTTTAATTTTGAGCCACAGCCATATACAAATAAGCTTCTTACACCAGCCACATCACAAACGGACCCACGAAGCATATGATGCAACCGGCCCGGTTTCGAGTCCGGCAGCGCGCACGCAGGTGGCGGAACGGGCGCGAACTGAACTTGAGCAGTTGGCCAAGACGGCGACACTGTGCAACTGAGCTGCCGGCGACCTTGAGCATAGGATTTACCACCCCCCCCCTCCCCAACCTCCCCCCTTCTTCCGCATCATGTCAGCCCTCTACTGAAAACGGATCGATATGTACCCTGGAAAAGCAGGTTGGTCAAGAGATACCCCAGGAAAAGAGGGTATGTGGAGCAGGCTGTAGGATTCATCCCCTCCACTGGTTTCTTCCAAGGAGGGCCTTAAGGGATACTTTGGTGGAAACAGGGAGAAGGGGGCAGCTTAGGTGTGTGCTTGTGTGTGTGTGACCCCTACGATCGAGCGAGCAGTTCGAGTTGGAAAGAAACCAGACCCAGATCTCCTAACTTGGGGCTCGGCAAGCCGTTTTGATCTTCATGCCTTGCCAGATGTAGCATCTCCTTGGACTTTCTGTTGCCGTTTTGGTGTTCCTCCGTTTTTTGCTTTCACTTTGGGAGGGGTTTGGCACAGTTGATTTGGAGGACATGAGCGGGCTGAAAGTGCATAAGTTCAAGGCTTCAATGGCCGTTTCTTTCCGCAAGGCTTTTGGCTCTTTTCCAAAATCAAGGCATTGGCAAACTTTTTCCCTCCGAATGAGTGCCCCCCCATGTTGTGAAGGGGGGCTCCTTGGATGTGTTAAAGTAAAATAAACAAGACACGAACTTTCTACCTCCCAACCTTGCAGTAAGGGCTTTGAAGGTCATGGCGAATCCTGGTCTATAGTCCCTGGTCCATGATGATCGCAATCATATGAAGCACCGTCAAAATGACTTCGGTTGAGCTTAGTATTCGGCGTGTCCTTGATGTTGTGGAAGTGCACAAAACCATGGCAAACGATAGGGGACTCTTAAACAAAAAGAGAAAGACAATACCGCGACGCCCAAACGGCGAGTTTTGCATTGACCGTTGGCCAGGCTCCAAGGGCAAGCTTGCCTTCTTACAGCTGGAAGGAGGCGCTGAGATTCGGGGGAGCTGCCGGTGGTTTGTTTCGGAGTGGGTGGACAAGATCCTGCACCAGTCTGCAAGTGGTTTATCCCAATATTCACAGGGTTTCATCCATCCCAACTGATGCAGGAGTTTCTCCACCCACGGTATGGGTGCGTCTCATTTTGAGGGAATCCTTTGTGGGGTGGCTTACAAGAAGGAAACCAACTGAAACAAAAACAAAAACAATACACTTTTTTTTTTTGGGCGGGGGGAGGGTATCCTGAAAAAGGGGACACACGCATAGGTCATCAGAAACCCACTTTTGCTTGGGATTGGGATAGTCATGGACCAGGGATCTTGGACAAGGAGCTCGCAGATTGGGAGTTTTGACCGTTTTTGACAATGTCATACGGGTTCAGAGGCGACCTCCCGCTGGGACACGTGCTGAAGATCTTGTTTTACACCTGAACCATATTCTCAGCTTGTTTTAGCCTGGTTTGTTGATCGCACCTTCATGGGTTTTATTGCAGGTTTCCAAGGGAAGCCTGATCAATAAGTTGTGCGTCCAAGGCTTTGGAAAATGGGGGGGGGGATACGAATAGTCCACTTTTTTCTTAATGACCAAGTTGTTGTTTTTGCCCACTTGATAACGTAGTTATGGGAACGGTTATTCTTTAAAATCAACGGGGGGGGGGGGGGGGGTTGGGGAGTAGCACATATTCCTAACAGATACCAGCGGATTCGAATGCCGCCCCAGTAATACTCAGGGGTTACCCACTGTTTCCAGGGTATAGTCCGGGTATAGGGTATAGGCTGAGTTTTCTTTTGTATTCATAGGTTTCCACAAACCCCATGCATACAAATTCAGACCTCGCATGCCAGCAACCACCATGTGAATACGAAAGCAAACCATCTCCACAGGGTATGATGTCAACCCTTGGCTAAAAAGAAGGCATTTACCTCGAAAACTAGGGTTTTCCAAGACATACTCTCAAATCAGCGGGTTGTTGGAGTAGGGCTTCTTCGTCCCAGAAGCTGAGCACCTGTTTAGATCAATGTACTCGTGAGGTGCCAGGTCAGGCAAGGTAAATCGAAACCCCAAGAAGCAGTAAGTGTGAAGCATGGGACGATTGGAGAGACTCTGCCATTTTTTTTTTTGGTCGGCTTGGCGAGTCCCCCAACTCCTCTCAGATTCGCCAGCTGGACTTTTCACCGAAGAGCGCAGCAAATTGGGCAGCTGTGCATTCTTAGTCACTAGATCAGCGCTGATCGCCTTGCCAGTACAGGTAGAACAAAAGCAACAAACAGTGCAAGTTTGGAGGGCTAGCCTGTCACAGTAGGGTAAACCCCCGGAGATGTCTTTGGGTTCCCCCTTCTTTGTTTTGGGGCAGTTGCCTTTCCCATTTGTTGGCACGCGCTCTTGATGATGCATTGCTTTGACCTTGCTGGAAAGTCTTCAGCATTGTGTGCGCGCGGCAAGGTGGCAAGGTCTTGTGTGGAGAGAACAAGTATTTTTTCCAGGGGGCTTAAGCAAATGGAAGCTGACTAGCGCGAGATTGTATGCTAGGTCATGTCCGTCCTCATCTCACAGAGGCAAGGGATGATAGTGGCTGCCACCTGCCGTTGAGTGTTTATTAGAGGGCTTTTGCAGCCAGGAAGCAGGACATTTGTATACTATCAGAGTCCAAGTAGATAGAACGGAGATGTGGAGTACATTACATCCTGATTGAGCCATGTCTATCGGAGAATAGTGTGCGAACTTATGTGGCCCCTTAAAGTGCTTTACATGACTCGCATGTTGACGCGAATCTTGGCTACGTTCATAGTTGCTCTGTTCTCCGATTGGAACCAGCACCGATTTCCGGTGGAAACACCTCAGCCACAATCAACACCCGATGAAGGTTAGTGAGGGATCGGCCTTGTTAATTCTTTAAATGGTGTTGATCGAAAAAAAGGATTTCTTGGTTTTAATGATTTGAATCCTTTATTGGATTAGTCATTCCCTCCTAGGTTCTGGTTTTGTTTTTGACGTCACCTGGTTTTCATATACATAGCCAAAAAAAGAAGGCTGGGTAGACATGGCTTCAGCTCTCTAAAACCTTGGAGCGAAAAGTCGTTGTTTTTCGAGGCAAAGGGTACCATTTTGGGTTTGGTTCAAAGGGAAACCAAATGGAAGTTGACACCTGGGTGATCAATATTCCGTTCGGCCCCAAAATGACTAAAAGGGTAGCTTTTCCCAAAAAGGTGGTGAAGATGAAGTTGCTTGGTGGTTTCGAAGAATCTTTTGATCAACCCCCCCATGTTTGTGGCATATTTTGGCACATACCCACAGGGCAGTGCCTTCATTTGGGTATGGCTCAAAATCAATCCACTAGGGAACCGCAGGCTTTAGTCCATGTGTCCATTTACTAAGGTTCCATTTTGGGTACCTATTTTTGACCCACAGCCATTTGTTTCCGCTCAAAAGAGCTGGGGGCATTCGAGTGGGCAAGCAGGTGGCCTTGCGCCCCGAACCGAATTCGAAGGATGCCAAGAGAGCGCCAAGTTTGTGTCCGGCAGAAATATGGGTGGCCTCCAAAATTTACCTCCAACCAGGGGGATTTTTAAACGACTGGACATAAGCAATCCCTAATGGACCTGGTGGCTCCCAGCGATCCTTTTAGTGTTTCGTGGGTAGTTTCCATACCCACTAAAAGCTTTAAACTTTTAGCCGGGGGATCAGAAAACGGGCAGCCCAGAAACTCGGGGCATGACTCGAGGTTGTCTTGGGGTTGATTCCTGCTCCATTCTTTTCAGCCATCGTTCTTTTCGAAAACCGATCGCCATTTCTGCAGGGTTTTTGGTTTTCTTGGAAGCAGGATCCCTGGAAAGAATGGGGACGTTTTTTAGAAACCAGAAGCCATCAATTGAAGCCCACTAAACCCTTTGCGTGTTTCTCAAAATTGGGGACCCTCCAGGGTGATTTCCTTTTGGTTCCCTGCAAAACCCATCCCAAAAAGGGCCCCCCTATTTTGCGACACCCCCATTTTGTTGAACCCTCCAACAGGGGTCACGAAACACAGGGCACCCTGTATGCCCACTCCCTTCCTTAGGAGCAGATCGCCGCTATGGTACGGGACCTGTCAACAGGCCCTCTCTCATGCCATTGGGCAGGGATTGTGTGTGTGTGTGTGCTTGGGTCCCCTCCGGGGATTTTAATCAACCGTTGTAAAGAATGACCCTACTCCAAATACCCTCCTTTTGTTGGGGATTTTGCGAAGCAAAAAAAGAAATGTTTTTTCTCTGGACAATGCCTCCTTTTATAGTAGATATTTGACAGGTGCCCTTAAAAAAGCGGGTCTTCGGAGCAAGGGGTCTGGCAACCAGGGCGGGGGTGCAGGCTTTGCTTCGCGCAGTAGCATGAAGCAAAGACGAGTTGAGAGGAGGTATCCTTGGCCTTGGAAAATGGGTGTGAATCTCAATAGCGGACCCCTTTGGTGGACCTGTTAAGAAAATGAATATTGGGACAGACCATTTTATGGATCAAGCAGTCTCTTCACCTTTTTGAACAAATGTCTGATACCCGCACCGGAAAAAAAAAGCAGGATTCCTCTTGTACGAGCAGAGAAGCAATCCGAAGGGATGACATGACATGGAAAACACTCACCACGCTACTAGGAACTGGGGTTGCTCACCGACATCTCATCTCATTGGGGGAGACAACGAGCAATGACCTCAGTCGTTCAAAGCAAATCGGCAATTCAGCCTTGTTTCCTCTTTTGGTCAGATTTCAGAATATTTCACGTTTTATGTCTAGGCCAACTGAACATACGGGCGAAACCAGCGCGATTTTGATGCCCAAGCTCCATATGTTTAACCATTAAAATAATATATTTAGCTTCAACACGCGCAGTTCCCAGCCATAGCCTTACTTTGACGAGTCATAAGTTGCAGAGCTTGGAGAAAATTTCTGACTGCAAAGTATACCACTTTTCGAAGGTTGCAGGCACCACCGAGTAAAATATCAAGGCAATGCGCCATGCGGTTTTCATGTCTTGAGAGGGTAGTACCTCTCGACATGGCAGGGATTTGTTTTTGTCGTTGGAGGTTGGTGGAATTGAATGTAAAAGATGCCTACCACAGGATCCGCTGGAGCAGTTCCAAAAGCCCGGTTTGTTGGGCCACTGAGTTCGTGGTTCAATCCGGTTTCATTGAGATTACAGCGGCTATGTAAAACGTCTACAAGGATAGAGCCAAACGTCGATCAATCATGGTTGTTGTTGGGAAACATGTTACATGTTTGCTTGTTGTGGTTTAGTGGGAAATCCCCACTTAACTGCTAAAACATATTTTTTGCTCCCCTTCCAACGTCAACCAAGCAATGGGTGCACTGCTCCACTGAAAGGAAGCAGCAACCACAACTCGCACGAGCTGTCAGGCTTTACCTCGAGTGCAGCTGGACGGGTACAAGACGCTCCAGGCTTGTGGCTGCGTCGCGCTGTGTGGGGACCTCTGGGATGGGTTTCTTTGGTGCATGTTGCTTGGATGTTAGGACTTTAACTTTTTGCCAACTAATGGGTTTTCCATTAAACCACTAAAAGTTAAACTTTTAGCAGGGAAGCAGAAAGCAACCGAGGTTTGGTTTCGTTGCCAGACTTGACCCAATCACGGCCTTCAGAGGGATCGGCAACCCTTTCACTTGTGGCTCATATTAAGGGACACAATCGCACGTTGCTGAATGCACCTGAAGTGCCCTAGGCCCTTTTGGGTTTCCTTCATTTCCCTTGCCAAGAAGTTCAATATTGGTATCATGTCAAACTCTACGAAAAAGTGATCGGTATTTACCCTGGAAAACCAGGGTTTTCAAAAAATACTAGGGTGTTCAACAAATACCCTAACATAAATGAGTATGTGTCAAAACAGGGGACCAAACACAAATGGGTGGTGTTCTTGTTGGGTTCCCTTCAAAACCCATCTAGAACGGGTACCCTCGTGAACCTTTTGGCGATATGTGGCGCTGTTTCTGAATTAAGGATTCACCCTCGTACAGTCCTGGATTTTGGAGAAGGAACTGTAGTGCCCTTCTCACCCCTTGTTTGGGGCAGGGTTCCCCTACTAAAATAGACAGAAAAAAGTTGGTACCCTTATTCTAACCTCTCTACTGCAGGACGTGGGGAAGGTACACTCTTTAGCTGAAATATCCAACTCCCATGGTTTGCAGATGCGGCCGAAGACGAGACGCTGGTGATCGAGGGTCTGGTGAGGAAGGTCGAGGACGCCTTGTGGGAGTTTAGAAATACAGGAGAACGAAACATGTGCATATGTATATATACATATATATTTGGCCGTGGGGCATATAACATGGCTCCATTTTGGGGTGGATGAACATGCATAATTTTGTTAGATCTATTTCTATACCGCATATATATATATATATATATGCACATAAATATACTGTAAACAATTCTATTTGCGCCCATCTGCATACTACAAACACCACCCGGGCGGCGCTTCGCGCTTTCCTCGTGGGACCCGCCCGCGCCGTGGCGATTCGGTTTTCTTTCTCGCTGCGAGGAGCTGGAAAGGCAAAGGGCTGAGCTTGAGGCCGGGAGTTCGGGAGTTGTGTCAAGAGCTCCACCCCACACCCCGCAAACCCCTTCACCCGGGTTCTCAAAGGGTTGTGGGTCAAAAAATAGGGTAACCCCAAAATGGGTTGCCCTGGTAAATGGAAACAATGACTAACACCTGCGGTCCCCTGGTGGTTCAATTTTGACCCACACCCAAATGAGTTGGAATGAACCCGAAAGGTGGTTTCCTTTAAGGGAATGTTCTTCCGGTTCATGAAAAAACCGCACCCCCCAGGGTTGACTGTCATACCCCAAGCATACTAGTGCCCTGGAAAAGGTGGGTATTCATGATATCTCTTTTCAGGTCCCATGGCCTTTTTGCGTTGTTTGTCTCAATACTGCTGTTTCGATGAGCAGGGAATGAGTTAGAATGAACCCGAAAAAACCATCCCTTGTGGTTTGGTTTCCTTCAAGGGAATCATTCCCTACTGAGCTAGACAACCGCTTTTTGGACCGTGCTTGGGATTTTTGAGATGGGGGCGGGGGGTGGCTGGCTAAGAATATTGTTCAATGTTGACCCCGGATTTAATCAAACCAAGTTATTGATAGGGCCCTGAGGCCTTCTTCGGAAGAAACCAGTGGAAGAGGGTTTGGGGGGGGGAGGGGGGTAATCCTACCACCTACTCTAAAACCCTCTTTTGCAGGTTTTTGTTTTTTGGCAAACAAACGGTTTTCCAGAAAGTACCAATCCGTAAACGGTTGACATGATGCCAACAAAAATATATGTTGGTATTTGGAGTACGTAGCGGCTATTATATGTACATATGTACATATATATATATATATATTATGTTGGTTTTAGCCGGCATCTGGACATATTGCTTTCTTTCCAAGACTCAAGCAAATGGACGCTTTGTTTGTGTTCGGCAAATTCCCTGCAGAACTTCCAGTCGCTGGTTTCTATGAAAAGATGCCCTTTGTCCAGTGCGTCCTTTTTCCCAACAAAAAACAACCCCGTTTCAGGGTACTTGGAAAAGACACACTTGCCCATACTGTGGATGGACGAAATCCTGCACCACCCAAGAAACCCTGATTTCTGATGAATCCCCTGAACATACCAATGGACGTCATGGTTTCAACCATGGTTTCCAAGTGGTGCGAGGGGATTTCGCAACCATCCACTGTATTGTGTGGCTACCAAAAACAAGGATCCCTAAACATGGCTGGTGCCCTTGGACAGCTCGGACCAAAAGCGGGTTGGCAATTTCAGAAACCAGCAGTGGGCTCGTCAAGAAGATGGGGTTTTGGGGATGCGGGTGCCGCCCACCACCATTTACAAGGCAATGCTCAGGTGTATAATGTAAGGATCTGTGATAGTGGGCAAGGGTTCCGGAAGCATCGTGACGCAACTTGCCGCTTGCCGAACTCTGATTGAGAAGTCTTGCTGGTGACTGTTGGGCCTTGTTGGCTTTGGCCTCACTGGGGGATGTACTATGTGCAGACCATTATCACTTCAACCACCTTTCGGCTTCCTAGTGGACATTTCGGGGCTGGTTTAAACACGTGCAACCCTGACAACCCAACCCCACCCTGCTTTTTTGTTGGTCCCATAAGCTCAAAAGATGGAGTCCAAGAGTCGAGGATGGGATCGAGCCTCTCCCAGTAAAGGCTGGGATCTGGCTGCGGGTCAAAATGAAAGCACCAGGAATTGGACCGCAGGTTGTCCTTCACCCATTCTGGGTACACATGTTTGACCAGCCATCTAGCCCCTCCCATGCAAGCTGATCGGCGGGGAAAACTTTTTTTGAGGCTGTCTCGCCTCTCACTTTGCCAGGCTGCGCAGTCCAGGGCCTACGAGATCTTCCGCCAGGCTAAGCCGATGGGGCAGAGGAATCCCAGTCCTTTGCTCTCATACTCACGTCCTGAGTTCATGAACTTTAAACTTTTTGGGAAGACCAGTTTGGTGGTAAATATAAAGTTTGAACTTTGTTAACTTTGTTTGGGCCATCCACTCAGCAAGTGAGCATACCAGGGCTCCTTAGCAACCATGTGAAACATGTTGCTCTTTCCAGCAAAATAACGGAAAGCCACCATTTACAAGGCAATGTTTAGGTGTATAATGTAAGGATCCCTTTATACGAGGTTCCCCAGCAGTACCCTTTTTGCCAACTTTTTTGGTTCGGAGGGTTCCCCTACTATAATAGACTAAAAAGAGAAAAAAAGAGGGTACCCTTATTCTCACCTCTCTACTGGAGGACCTAGCATAGGTATCCTTTTTAGGTTAGTGTGGTTAAGAATAGAAAAGCAGTGGTGGGGTTTGTTCCATTTACCAGGGCCATCTATTTTTCCAAAAGGACACCTATCTTTGTTCCCATAGGTGTCCTTTCTGGTTGGCTTGGTTGAAAAATAGAGGGCCCTGCTTTGCCTGACAGTTCGATCATCTACCAGGGCCATCTATTGTCCAAGAAGGACACCTAGGTTTGTTCCCCTTTTATGGTTCTGTTTTAGTCATTGCCCCAAACGGTGAAGCTTGTTTTTTCTGGGGGGCCTAAGGGGCAGCTGGGCTTACCTTTTGTGTTTCTTCCTTTCTTCCTTCCTTTCTTTCCTTCTTTCTCTTTACCCTTGCCCTATGTTTCCTATGCTTGATGTTTGTGTGGTGCATTGTGCGTCCCCAACTGTACCTACATGTCATGCATGTTCACCGTGTCTAGCCTACCTGAAGAGATCAGCGCTTGCCCTAGGGTTCGACCGAGTCCCATCAAAATAAAACGGCAACTGTGAACCCAAGTCAGATGATGAGGGTAAGCAATGGTAGTGATACTGTGGATGGACGAAATGACGAAATCCTGCACCACTTTGAAACCGTGAGAGACCATGTTTCCCCGGTAACCGTTTAAGCAACTGAATCCCAGAGCTCAGGGTTCGCCAACCACCCGCCACGCCAGGCACAAGACAGGCTTCTGGATCAGTCGAAAACGGCCTCGCGAGAGCTGCACGTGCCCCAGAGAGAAGTTGCAGAGGACCCACTGACTTGGCCGAATGTGACAACCAGCCTTGGGACCCAAGTGGCGGACTCTTGGTTTTGCGTTTTTCTTTCTTTTTTTTGGCCAGGTGCAGGCCGAATCCTTGAAAAGGAACACCAGCTAGTTGACACCAAGAACGTGTTTGTTGGGGTATTTCATAGGGACCCTGCAGGTTGGTTTGCCCTTGTTTTCCTCAACCATCCAAAAAAGGTTGCCTGTTCTAAGCAAAACGTCCAGTTGACCATAGTGGAAATCTGAATGGCTGACTCTGAAGGGCTCAATGATTGCAACACCTTATTTTCTATGACACAGCTTGGTTTTAAAGTACCCCCCCCATCTCCAAATCGCAGTCGTTCGCCCGTTCGCGAACTTGACATCGACTTTGAGCCTCGAGGTATGGAAGGAATACTTTGATCGCACGGCTGCCGGACGGGTGCGTCTTTCTTGAAGTTACCTGTTTTGGGCTTGCTAGGCAATTCATCATCGTGGGGATCCACATCTCTCTTTGACACATGCGGTGCCCATTAATATGTCGTCACCCCAATGTGCCTGAAAAGGCCGTCGGACTTTTGGAGTTGGCATTTCGAAAGTTCGACAAGGCCCAATCCCCAAATGCCCCAACTCGGCCGTGTTTGGACCGGCGCCGAACGAACCAACTAAGGCAACTGGTCAAAAGTGAGCCCCTTGGTTGGTTTTGATTTCGGGCGGGCCCTTTACCCAGTGCTTCCAGACATGCCAGGCAGGCAGGTTTCTTTCTTCTTGGCATGATATCCCCTGGTGTAGCATGGCAAGAGCCAAGCGCGATAGGGATTGTAATACAGGTGATGGGTGTCTCTCGTTTTTTTGGGGGAACCCCCTTTGGGCGTGGCGTTAAAGGCAAACCAAGAGGACACTGGCGTGGGGGTATAGGCAAACCAAAAGGAAACTGAGCTATTTATGTTTTTTTTTTTTCCCCCCGGGGGTATTTCAAGACAACCAAAAGGACACTGAAGTAGTTATTTTTGTTTTATTGGGGGGGCCCTTATTTTAAGACAAACCCACCTGGCATGCCGCTTTGCGCCGAGGTATGCAGCCAAGCTTCAAGCAGTGAGAGAGGAGGAAGCCGCAAAGAAGCGCGAAAGGACCGCTGGGGCTTTGGGCGCCGTCCCACGCGGCGAGCGGGACTAGATTGGAAGAGACTTAGAACCTATCATTTTCTGCATACGCCGCGCCCAAGAAATGGAACGACACAAACTTCAATTTACCTCAGATGCCCAGATTGGGCCACTTCGGGATGGCGAAAGAGAAGCCGGGCAGGGACACCCACCCTTGGGGTCGAATTCTCAGATTAGGTGGCACATACATGTGGACGTGTCTGCTTTTGCTCCTGAAGTTCAACTCAGTGTGTGCGTGCTTCCTGAGATATGTGTTTAATGGAGCACATCTGATTTTGCCCAAAAGGAAAGGTCGGGTGAGAACTAGGGGAATGTGGGAGTGGGGGCGGCACTTTCAGAAAGAACCTGAATGCGGATGTTCAAATACAAGTGATTTGAAGAAATGACCCATTGACCTGTTCAACAGGCAGTAGGCAGTGGCTCAAGATTTTGACATGCTTAGACCGCTGGCTTTGCTGGTTACATGGGTTTGTCTCGAGATGGCACCCTTTTTCTGGGTGTTTCTCCCCAAAAGGGTACGAACATCCGAAAACATAACCCCAAGGTGTCCCCTTCTGGGCTTGGGGACTACACACATAGTTGTTGTTGGGAAACACTTTTTGACATTTTTGCTTACTGTGGTTTAGTGGTTTAAATCCAGCCACTTATCTGCTAAAATTTAAGTTTTTGCTCCCCTTCCAACGTCAACCAAGCACACCCAACTCACCTTTTTAACGCTTTGCCCTTGTGGTGTTCCTTCCTTTCTCGGCGGGCGCCATGCCTCGCGCCTGCTACGAGTGGGTTATATCCACGGTGTTCCCTGGCCAAGAGCCCCCAAACCATCCCCGCCAAACTCGCTGTCTCAAAGCCCGTACCAAAACACATTTTAAGGCCCGCAAAACGCCAAACAATCCTAAGCCTGTTCTCTCCCCCCCTCAGACAAAAACTTGTTTTCCTACCGTCCTAACGTGTTGACCTGCTTCTTTCACCCGACAAAAATCCTGATTTCCCACCCTCCTAACGTTTTGGCCTCCTGTTTTTTTAACCACCCCACAGTAAAAAAGGGGCAAAAACATGGAGAAAAAAGGGGGGCCCGGGGCCCCCGACCCTCCGGATCCATCCGATCGATCCAAGCCGCGAGCCGCGAGGGCGCTGGTGCGGCAGCGCGGCTCCGCCGAGGCGATGCTCCGAGCGCAGGAGCGCAAGAAGTCGGTGGCCAAGTGGTTCCTCGTTTCAACGTAAGGGTTTTTGGTTGTTGGTTGGGTGTTTTTGTTTTTTCTTCCTTGTTGCAAGCCTTTTTGTGGTTGCTTGCTTCCTTGTTTCGACGAGTGGTTGTGGCTCAAAATTCAACAGCTAGGGCAAACCGCAGGTTTTTGTCTTTGTTTCCATTTTCCAGGGGGCTATATTGGGTCCATGTTTTGAGCCACAGCCACTTCGTTTTTGGGGGAAGGGTTCTGATTCTGCGAAAACAAAGAACTACTCAATACTCAACCAACAAAAGAAGGGTCAACGTGTTTTGAAAGGAAGGTTTGGTTGTTGGTTGGGTCCTTTTCCTTTTTTCCTTGTTGCAAGCCTTTTTTGGTTGCTTGCTTCCTCGTTTCAACGAGTAGTTATGCCTCAAAATTAAACAGCTAGGGCAAACCGCAGGTTTTTGTCTTTGTTTCCATTTTCCTAGGGCTATATTGGGTCCATGTTTTTGAGCCACAGCCACTTCGTTTTTGGGGGAAGGGTTCTGATTCAGAGAAAACAACGAACTACTCAACCAACAAAAGAAGGGTCAACGTGTTTTGAAAGGACGGTTTGGTTGTTGGTTGGGTCCTTTTGTTTGCTTGCTTCCTCGTTTCAACGAGTGGTTGTGGCTCAAAATTCAACAGCTAGGGCAAACCGCAGGTTTTTGTCTTTGTTTCCATTTTCCAGGGGGCTATATTGGGTCCATGTTTTGAGCCACAGCCACTTCGTTTTTGGGGGAAGGGTTCTGATTCTGCGAAAACAAAGAACTACTCAATACTCAACCAACAAAAGAAGGGTCAACGTGTTTTGAAAGGAAGGTTTGGTTGTTGGTTGGGTCCTTTTCCTTTTTTCCTTGTTGCAAGCCTTTTTTGGTTGCTTGCTTCCTCGTTTCAACGAGTAGTTATGCCTCAAAATTAAACAGCTAGGGCAAACCGCAGGTTTTTGTCTTTGTTTCCATTTTCCTAGGGCTATATTGGGTCCATGTTTTTGAGCCACAGCCACTTCGTTTTTGGGGGAAGGGTTCTGATTCAGAGAAAACAAAGAACTACTCAACCAACAAAAGAAGGGTCAACGTGTTTTGAAAGGACGGTTTGGTTGTTGGTTGGGTCCTTTTGTTTGCTTGCTTCCTCGTTTCAACGAGTGGTTGTGGCTCAAAATTAAACAGCTAGGGCAAACCGCAGGTTTTAGTCTTTGTTTCCATTTACCAGGGGGCTATATTGGGTCCATGTTTTGAGCCACAGCCACTTCGTTTTTGGGGGAAGGGTTCTGATTCTGCGAAAACAAAGAACTACTCAACCAACAAAAGAAGGGTCAACGTGTTTTGAAAGGAAGGTTTGGTTGTTGGTTGGGTCCTTTTCCTTTTTTCCTTGTTGCAAGCCTTTTTTGGTTGCTTGCTTCCTCGTTTCAACGAGTGGTTGTGGCTCAAAATTCAACAGCTAGGGCAAACCGCAGGTTTTAAGTCTTTGTTTCCATTTACCAAGGGGCTATATTGGGTCCATGTTTTTGAGCCACAGCCGCTTCGTTTTTGGGGGAAGGGTTCTGATTCTGAGAAAACAAAGAACTACTCAACCAACAAAAGAAGCGTCAACGTGTTTTGAGAGGATGGGTTGGTTTTTGGTTGGGTGTTTTTGTTTTTTCTTTGTTGCAAGCCTTTTTTGGTTGCTTGCTTCCTCGTTTCAGCGAGTGGTTGTGACTCAAAATTAAACAGCTAGGGCAAACCGCAGGTTTTAGTCTTTGTTTCCATTTACCAGGGGGCTATATTGGGTCCATGTTTTTGAGCCATAGCCTCTTTGTTTTTTGGGGAAGGGTTCTGATTCCGAGAAAAAACAACTCAACCAACAAAAGAAGGGTCAACGTGTTTTGAAAGGAAGGGTTGGTTGTTGGTTGTGTGTGTGTGTGTTTTTTTTTCTTTGTTGCAAGCCTCTTTTTGGTTGCTTGCTTCCTCGTTTCAACGAGTGGTTGTGGCTTAAAATTCAACAGCTAGGGCAAACCGCAGGTTTTTGTCTTTGTTTCCATTTTCCAAGGGCTATATTGGGTCCATGTTTTTGAGCCACAGCCACGTCGTTTTTAGGGGAAGGGTTCTGATTCTGAGAAAACAAAGAACTACTCAACCAACAAAAGAAGGGTCAACGTGTTTTGAAAGGAAGGTTTGGTTGTTGGTTGGGTCCTTTTCCTATTTTCCTTGTTGCAAGCCTTTTTTGGTTGCTTGCTTCCTCGTTTCAACGAGTGGTTGTGACTCAAAATTAAACAGCTACGGCAAACCGCAGGTTTTAAGTCTTTGTGTCCATTTACCAAGGGTCTACATTGGGTCCATGTTTTTGAGCCACAGCCACTTCGTTTTTGGGGGAAGGGTTCTGATTCCGAGAAAAAAACAACTCAACCAACAAAAGAAGGGTCAACGTGTTTTGAAAGGAAGGGTTGGTTGTTGGTCGGGTGTGTGTGTGTGTGTGTTTTTTCTTTGTTGCAAGCCTTTTTTTGGTTGCTTGCTTCCTTGTTTCAGCGAGTGGTTGTGGCTCAAAATTTTAACAGCTAGGGCAAACCGCAGGTTTTAAGTCTTTGTTTCCATTTACCAAGGGGCTATATTGGGTCCATGTTTTTGAGCCACAGCCACTTCGTTTTTGGGGGAAGGGTTCTGATTCTGAGAAAACAAAGAACTACTCAACCAACAAAAGAAGGGTCAACGTGTTTTGAGAGGAAGGGTTGGTTATTGGTCGGGTGTGTGTGTGTGTGTGTGTTTGTTTCTTTGTTTGAAGCCTTTTTTTGGTTGCTTGCTTCCTTGTTTCAACGAGTGGTTGTGGCTCAAAATTTTAACAGCTAGGGCAAACCACAGGTTTTAGTCTTTGTTTCCATGTACAAAGGGGCTATATTGGGTCCATGTTTTTGAGCCACAGCCACTTCGACAGCCACTTCGTTTTTGGGGGAAGGGTTCTGATTCCGAGAAAAAACAACTCAACCAACAAAAGAAGGGTCAACGTGTTTTGAAAGGAAGGTTTGGTTGTTGGTTGGGAGTGTGTGTGTGTGTGTGTTTTTTCTTTGTTGCAAGCCTTTTTTTTGGTTGCTTGCTTCCTTGTTTCAGCGAGTGGTTGTGGCTCAAAATTAAACAGCTAGGGCAAACCGCAGGTTTTTGTCTTTGTTTCCATTTTCCAAGGGCTATATTGGGTCCATGTTTTTGAGCCACAGCCACTTCGTTTTTAGGGGAAGGGTTCTGATTCAGAGAAAACAAAGAACTACTCAACCAACAAAAGAAGGGTCAACGTGTTTTGAAAGGAAGGGTTGGTTGTTGGTTGGGTGTTTTTGTTTTTTGCCTTGTTGCAAACCTTAAACAGCTAGGGCAAACCGCAGGTTTTAGTCTTTGTTTCCATTTACCAAGGGCTATATTGGGTCCATGTTTTTGAGCCACAGCCACTTCGTTTTTGGGGGAAGGGTTCAGATTCCGGAAAAAAAAATGAAAAACAAAAATAAACTCAACCAACAGAAGAAGGGTCAACGTGTTTTGAAAGGAAGGGTTGGTTGTTGGTCGGGTCCTTTTCCTTTTTTCCTTGTTGCAACCCTTTTTTTGGTTGCTTGCTTCCTCGTTTTAACGAGTGGTTTTTGGTTCTGATCAACGGGGAACAGGGGTTCTATTCTCGTTTTTTGTTGGTTGTTTTTTTGGGGGTTCTGATTCCGATAACAAAAGACTCAACCAACAAAAGAAGGGTTCCGATCATTGTTTTCCCATGGAAATTCACTGGGCATCTCAGTGAAGCAAAACACACAGCGGGGTTGCTTCTATAATAAGCGGCACTGTGGATGGTTGCCTAAGGCACCACCTAGGACACCTGGGTTTGTTCTGCCCACCCGGCTTTTTTGTGGGTTCTTCGAGTACCAGGTATATATATATATATATCTACATAGGCAGAATGATTCTTCCTGAATTCATACAAATACATAAATGGTTTTGAACGCCAACATGGTTGGCGCCCTTCTACTTCTCCTTTGTACATCTAAACGGGTTTCAATCATTTTGGAGAGGAAATTCGGGCTCTGCCGCTGCATGCTTTTGCTATGTCCACTTTTGTGCTCCATGTTTATCCAATTGCAGGAAATCCGGTTTGTGCGATTGCGGGGACGAGTTTCTTTGGAGGCAACATGGGTGTCAAAGCAAGTTTCAATTGGGCTCCAAACCGCGTTCCGTGTTTTCCCCCAATCAGTCAAGGGGCCCTGGGAACACAGTCAACATGTCGGTAGTCAGTCAACTCGGGACCAATTCGAGGATCAACCATAGAAGACCCCCCAACAACTCCTTCTTCCCATATCCGAAGTTCCAAGCACTGTCCAAACAGCAGTTGTTGGGGGGTGTCTGCGTCTTGCCATATCCAACGTTCCAAGCACTTTCAAGAAGCGGTTGTTATTTTTTTTGGGGGGGGGGCAGGGGTGCTGGAGAGATCCAGGAGCAGACGCTTCTGCGGTTGAAGCAGCAGAGCAAGGACTACGCTGCCAGGACGGATTTTTGTTTCTTCATCGGAGTTTGGTTTGTTTTTTGGACCCCGCCTTGTTCCTTCAAAAAAAGTTCCGGTTGAAGGCCCCCTCATTTTGACAACTCTGGTTGTGCTTATTGTGGATGGTTGCGAAATCCAGACATCGCACCACCGTTCAGAAACCCTGGTTTCTGATTTGATCCCCCCAAGTAAATACCAGCAAGCGTTACGGTTTCAACTATGGTTCCAACAGTTGTGCGAAAAGGCTTTCGTTTTTTCCAGCCTATCACTTGTAGCTGTCACCTAACATTCCTGGTGAGTCTGTCCTCCCCGCCTGAAATCCCAAGCGGAGCCAAGAGCAGCACCTTGCGCCCTCGTGAAGCAATCTGTGACCAGAATTGTCCTTTTTGGCCCTGATGGAATAGGTGGTTCATCATCCATACCAGAGCCATCTATTTCCCAAAAGGCACCTGGCATGTCTTGTGACGAAGTTGACCTTCTGGTTTCATGTCTTTTTTTTTCCTTTCCCCCATTTTGTTTTTGCCGCCCTGTTCAAAAGGGAACCTTTCTTTCAGATTTGTTTTGGCGTACGGTTTCCTCGGTCTAGTCTCAAGAAGGTGTTCCCTTGTCGGTCTGCTTTGGGTGTTCCAGTGTTCTTCCCGGTCTTCTGGTTGGGTGGGCCGAAAGCAAGGATCTGCGCTCAAATAACCAGATGGACACTAAAGGGTAAGCACCTGTGGCCACAGCGTCCTCATGGCATGGGGATTTCAGACGAAAACCAAACCGGAATTCCTGCAAAAATACTATAGCCATGCCCTGCTCAACAACGAGTGGTTTTTAACAGGTCCCTATATAGGATAGGACAAGTGAACAAATCATCAGCTGATTTGTGGCTGAAAACATGGAATCCCCAAAATGTGAGAATGGCACCTTGGTATATGGAAACAAACAACTCTAAAACCTACGGTTTGCCCCAGCTGCCTAATTTTGAGCCCCACCCAGCTGATTTTTTGGGATCTTGCAAAGCAGAAGGCTTCTGAGGTCTCAAAATGGGAATCGGAGCCCCGCATACTGGGCTTCAGTTTCTGTTTGGCATTTGTTCAATCCAGTTTCAGGGGACCAACTCCACGAGACAAGCCCATGTAATTGACCCCTGTCCTGGTAAGGGGCTCTCCCATGTAACCTCTTTTTGGGGTCTTTGAAGTGAAACCAGAAGGACCACCCCTTGGTTTGGTTTTCCCCATGTAGAGATAGCATGTATCACTCCCACACCAAACAAGGAACCCTGTTCAAGAAACCCGGTTATTCAACTTGCATCCTTTGAGGAACCTCAGGTGTTTGGCCCGAGCAACGAGCTGCGTTTTGAGGATCCAGGCGCTCTTTTCCGCCCTGAAGAGCTGTGGCTGCGTCAAGGCAAGCGAGTGCGAATGGCGGGCGTGTCTTCTTTTGAGGGGTCCCGGTTTGCTGTGTTTCTTCAAGGGAAACCAAAATTTAAAGGAAATGTTGCTTTCCATGAAAACGGGGAGGAGGGGTCTAACAAACAGACCAAATATGGGTCTGGCGATATGTTTAGTCAAAAGAAGTTTAGAAGGAACTTCCGCGGTACGACAATCAATTGAAAGCCTTCTGACCTAGGAGACAATAGAAGCATATGGCCGCACGAAAAGAAGCCTGAAAGTGTGGCGGGGGAATAGGAATGTCCAACATTGCGGGTTTCGGTTTCTTCAGATGCACGGAAGTTAGCCAGACTCCGCGACGCCAGGTCGGGGCGGGCTGTGGGGGCACGCGGGGGGGGGGGGAGGGAGGGAATGAAGAGGGTCGTGTTGAAAACCTTCATGAACAAGAATGTTGGTAAAGCCAATAATGAAGGAGTTTTGAGCGCTGCACATGTGAATGTTTTTTTTTAAGGGTTAGGTTAACCTTCTCTGTACCGATGGAACAACCCTTTGGCGTGGTTGTTTGTTGCCGTAAGGATGGGAATCCGTCTTTGGTGTCGCAGAAAGGCGCATTCACAAACTGAACGCCCTATTCTGTGGTAACGACCAGCATTTGCCAGACTCAAGTCGCCTTCCTGTTCTGGCCCTTGTTGTTTCTTTGGTGTTTTCTTCCTTTTTCATTTCACCCGGCCACGAGTTCTCACGCTCTCAGTTTTGCAGGACTAGGTCCCTCAGTAGTGCCCTTCTCACCCCTTTTTTGGTTGGGAGGGTTCCCTACTAAAATAGACAAAAAGAAAAGTTGGTAATGTACCCTTATTCTAACCTCTCTACTGGAGGACCTAGGGCTACCCTCTTTAGCTGAAATCTCCAACTTTTGTGGCCCCCGGCGGCTGAAGACGAGACGCTGGTGATCAATTTTTGTAGGAGCTCGGATCTCGGGCCAAAGGGGTTCAATTGCTGCTCCGAGGGCTCGGCGTGGCAGCCCGACGAGGCGCGTTTCATGGGTTTAGGGCGATCTGTCCCGCCAGGTTGCTTGCCTTTGACCCCCCCATAGGAACCGTAGGAAACAGAATGTCTCACTTTCTGAGTTTATGAACTTTAAACTTTTTGGGAAGATCATTTTAGTGGCAAATATAAAGTTTGGACATTTTTGGGTCGTCCACTCAGCCAGTGAGAATGTGGATGGTTGCAAAATCCAAGTCGCGCCACCTAAGAAGTCCTGGAATGATGATTCTTCGGAAATTCCAACAAGCAATTTCGTTGCAACCATGATTTCAAAGTGGGTCCATCCACAGTGGGACAACTTGAAATCCATTTGCCCTTTTTTGGGAATAGGAACAGAAAGGGGACCCCGGGTTTCTACACCAGGCGGTCCCTTTATGTCTTTTTCCTTTTGGGGAGGCTCTGAGTGGATGTTTATCAACCATTCCCCATGCCCCTTGGGAAAGCCAAAAGAAGGCATTGATCTAGGGGTTGATTCCCCATTCTTTTCAGCCATCGTTCTTTTCAAAAACCAGCCATTTCCCCTGGGTTTTTGGTGGTTTTCTGGAAAGAAGGATCCCTGGAACGATTGGGAAAGTTACTCTTAGAATTGAACAATATGGGCAACATGTTGGGTAACATGTTGAAAGTATGTTTGGTGGCCCAACCCTACTGACAATATCCTAGTCCCAGCCAGAAGGGTTACCTGGCTCTTAGATCCCTTTCATTGCATTGGCTGCAACTCATTTCAAGGACAGGGTCCCTTTTTTTGACTAGGTAGACTCAAGCCCAGGTCCGGTTGATCACCCCAAAAGGGGGAATCCCTCGGTCAGCTTGAACCAGCAGGTAAGCAGAAAATGGAACCCTGGAATATCCTGTGCCAGGTCACCACAACCGTCACGAGCACGACAACGACTGCGAAGACCACGCTGCCGCAGGCAGATGTGCCCACGGATGCGGGAGATCCCCCTGTTAGATTCTTTGAACAACCTTGTCAGCGGCTTGACCTCTGAACCTTTTGTGTGTTTCTCAAAAATAGGAGTCCCCTGATATTGTGGGTTTCTTTTTGGTCAAAGCCTTTCAATGCATACCAGCCAAGCTTTTGAATCCACCGGGTTGAGAAAAAGTCCCTTTCGGGTTTCCCTTTGTGGTCCGTTTTTGCTCAAGGTGCTTTGGGCAGACTCGCGAAGAAGGGTGCCAAGAATGTTTCCGTTGTGAAGACATAGTCATTGGGAAGGGTCTTTCGCTCACTCCCTGAGTTCCTGGACTTTAGTCACTTTTGGGGTTTGGACCATTTTAGTGGTAAATAGAAAGTTCAGACTTTGTTTGGCCAATCCACTCATGAAGTGAGTTTAGAGGTATCACAGAAGTGGACAGCCAATTCCCACTTCTGAACAGCTAATTTGTTCGAGCCTTGAACTGTTGACCCAGGCAATGGAGAGATGCGGTATGTTTTTTGTTCGATCTTACATGGCTATTCGGCCGCGTTTCAAGTTGATATTGCTTTCAGCAATCCGAAATGAGATTGTTTGTTTTAAAGGGTATACACCTTTGTTGGGGTCAGTTTGCAAGGCAACCAAAGGAACACCACCCAATTCAGATGTTCCCATCGGAGAGACACACGCACAACCATGTTGTGTGCCTTCAAGCCAAGGTGGCTTGTGAGTCTCTGAATGTCTTGTGAAAGGGTCCCTTCGAGGGCTGCGTTTCCTTAAAGCCTTCATCTGCTGAAATGAAAACGTGATTTTAAGTTTATATAGATATAATATCATGATTTTCCTCTGTGGGTTTTGAAGTGAATCTATCACTACCGGACATATCTTCTTGTTTGTTCCAGGAGGATCAAGCAAATGGTTGCAAGTGGGTGGGCAGCATTATTTCGAGGCCTTTGCTTTTTGTGGAGGTGAAACAGGGGGTGGCGAACCTCCAACACCTGGTCTCTCAAAATGGTTGTCACCTTGGTGTGTGTTTCATAAAAATGGCAGGCTAGCCCATGAGATTCGCCTCACGTCATGTTTTACTTTCACCCACTCACTCCTGAAGCGGCCCTCTTTGTTTCCTTATAACGGAACTTTCAGAAGCCCTCAAACGCTGTTTCCTTACGGGGACTTTCCGACACCCCGCCTAAAGAGGCACTATTTTCGTGTGCCTTTTACAAGATACACGGGTCCAAGGAAACAGGGGATTCATGGATCCATTTTCAGATATCCCTATAGATCTACTCTTTTCGTCCGCCTATGAGTGCCTCGAGCCATGAGAACCGTGGCTCAGGAGGGTGCCTTTCCTGAAGCTTTTGCTGGGAAAAAGCATCGGGTCAACCGTGGGATCTGGCGGCAAAACCTGTCCTATTCATAGTGAACCAGTTTGTTCATCAGGGCTTTCAATCAAGTCAGATTTGAATCAAGATGTTTACCGGGCCTGGGACAGGTCGACCCCCGAATTCTCAAGCAAAAAGGCGACAGTCGCCCAACCAAAGTTTCAGGGGCCAGGTCAACCTGTCAATAAAGCCTCTCCTATCAACCAGGGACACCCCCAACCAAAAGGTCTAAATAAATACTAAATCAATACATATATATATATATATAGGTCAAATCATAGTTGTGGTACATATCTTATACATCTTATACATCTTATGTACTGTTGTTCCTCCGCCTCAGCCCTGGCCGTTCGCTGCTCCTTTGCCGCAGGTGGATCTGGTCCGCGAGCGCCAACCGGCGCGGAGGCCGAGACATTCCACGGCGCTTTCCTGTCCGGAGGCCACGTACGGCACGTCCCGTTTGTTTTGGAGAAGCTACCGTTTTTTGGACTTGAGCACCGCTTTCTTTGGGTTTGTTTGTTTGTTTGTTTGTTTGTTTGTTTGTTTTTTTTTGAGAAGCTACCCTCCCATCAACCAACACGGAAGGGAAAAAAAAACGACCTTTCCAAGAGGAAAGTAGGCTTTCTACAGGGCCTGTCTTTTCGCACAAACCCATGTTCGCTGGTGGGAGGGTACCGTTTTTCGGACTTCAGCGCCCATTTTTGCTTTGGACTTTTGGACCACTTGGCAAAGAAACCGTTGGACTCGGGGTTCGAACCACCGGATCGGAAGTGAGGAGGTTTCAGAACCGCTGCCAGGATTTTCAGTTTGCAGGGACTGGGGACTGCACTTCCTCCTGCCTCCATCTAGCTAAGGCCCTTGGGCCCGGCCTTGAATCAAAGGCCTCAAAGAGTGGTTGGTCTTGGGCTATGGATTGATTGCTACTTTCAACCCGGTGGGTTTTAAAGGGAATCCATCACTCATGGATGTATGTGACATATTTTTGCAGGGAGTCCAGGAGGCTTAAGCAAGTGGAAGCCCGCCAAGGAGAAACATTCGATCGCCCCCACCAGAAACGTTGGATGAGAAGCCTTGGATCAGAACGGTCCCTACGATCAGAAGGCTCTGAGAACATTGTGAAAAAAGGGCCTTGTTGAGTGCCCAAGATGCTTAGGGTTTTGGAGTACACCAGACGACAAAGTTTGCCCACTGAGGCGGCATCATCTTTGACGGGACCCAATGGGTCGTGAGCGCTGAGCTCGCTCGAAGTTTGGCCTTGCTCTGCCCGAAAAAAAACAGTTCGAAATCCAATGGTCGAAAGGGTCAATAGCGAACGGGTCGTGTCTTTGCCTTGAGGGCACCTTTTTTTGGAGGGCTGAAAGGGACCCCAACGGGACACCATGTTCTGGGTGGGGGGAACTATTTCAAGACACGCCCATATTTTCAGGGGTTGCAACACCTGTGACATGTTAAGACAAGCTGGCCGGCATGGGAGAAGCAGAGGCTTCAGGCCTAGAGCGAAGTCAACAATCGCACAAAAGGAGCGCCGCGACCACGATTGGAGGCCTCACCCCCTACTTCAAATACCCTCTGTTTTTAGTTGGTATAATTGCAAAGCCTGGTTTTTCATGGTAACTACCTCCTTTTTAGTGGAGGGTTGACATGATACCCTAACCGAAGAGGGTGTTTGGAGTAGGGGGTAATGCCAGCTTGAGAATGCATGAGAAATTTGCCCAGCTTCGCTTCGATCCTTCCTTGTGTAGATGGTGATGTACGTGCAAGAGCATTCTTCGTTAGTGGTCACTACCGCAAATGAAAGATTTGGTTCGCGGAACCTGGTCCGTTGGCATTTCAATACGGTTCATGGACCCAATCAGCGAAGAGTTCGTCCAGTTCAAGCTGTTCAGAAGCTCCCCACTTTGCCTTGACTTTTAGCCGTTTAAACTTCTCGGCAAGACCAGTTTAGCAAACAACAAGTTTAGACTCTTTCTGGCCAATCCACTCAAGTGGGTCGACTATTGCCGGTTGTGAAGGGGGTGTTCACTTGAGCGCCAGTTTTCGTCTACTTGAACGACCTGCCTGAGAATGATGGTGGGGAGACCTTCTTTCCAGACCTTGGCTTGAATCTCGGCATCATTGGCGCGTGTTTGAGCATGGGTCCAGCAAGGAGAGACATTCATACCGGTTTTCACAACAGTTCCTAGGGATGGGGGGGGCTTTGGCTTCCTAACCTCCAACGAGTCGTAGTAGGGATGTTTGGGTGTTGTAGTGAAGGAAAGGCATGTCGGGCAGGCCAATGGCGTAGGCTTCTCTTGTAGGTTTCCTTTCAAGAATCATCCAAGCCAAGCTTGGGCGCTTTTCTGTGGGGGGGTGCGAGCCTTTGAACGATCAAATCAAAAGGGGTTGAAAGCTGTATAGAGAGATCTCGGGAATGAGATGACCAAGACAAAGTTCATCGAAACAAGGATATTTGTACCTGTAGTCTCCTTCTGACCCTCAAAGCATGGTTGTCATGACCCCATTTTAGGTGCAGGTGTTGAGGGTGAGGAGACTGGTAGATGGGCCAAAGTTTGCTCCATGCAACCCATCGCTTCTTGCCGCCTTTCCGTAGTCACACAGCTAACTAACTAACTGATCCAAGGTGGATTCTAGCAGTGCGAGACTTGGCAGCTGACTTTTTGCCCTTGGGGTTTCCGTCATCTTTCTTGCCGGCAAAGAAGCTCAGATTCTTTTTGTGAGGGTCTAAGTCTGGTCAAGCAAAACTTTGCTTGGGCAAGCCAAGAGCTGTTTTTCCGGAAACGGCGAAAAAGCGGAGAGGCCAGGCAAAAAGCATGTCTTGGTGGATGTTGGATTTTCCTTGCATATGCCCGGTGCTACCAGTTGAGGGACCTGCAGGAGATCGACCTTAGCCTTCAGCTTTTGGAGCACTAGGTTCAGAGATGGAGGGGCTTCCATTTTTTGGATCCAGAAGGGAGTCTAACCGAATGACGGGTTCCCATCGCGTGAGAATGTGGGTCTGAACGTAGTGGGACCCTTTTTTCCAGAACAATGTAGGTGGGGATTTATGTCCACCAACCCTTTTTCAGCACTTGGATTGAATTTGCCTTTGGGAACCGCTTGACACCGAGGAAGTTTGTACCTCGAAGCTCGGATGCGTCGGAGCTGCGTCTGCGGTTTGGTCGATGGTGGTGGAAAGTTGGGTGTTGGGACTTCCTGTAGTGTCCTTTTACCGTTTTTTTTTTTTGGGGAGGGGTCCCCCACTAAAACAGACTACAGAAGAAAATGGTACGCTTATTCTAAGCTCTCTACTGGAGGACCTAGTTGAAGGTACCCCTCACCCCTCTGTCGCGGTTGCAAAGAGAAAAACCAAGAGGAACACCACTCGCTGCACGAGGTCCATTCCCTGGTTCGAGAAGAAGGCTTCAGCCTTTTTAGGAAAGAAGACAAGGAAGCACGCCAGTTTGGGGGGAGAGGGGGGTTCGAAAGAAAGACGCAGACATGGCCTGAACGACCCTATAATTTTGGGTACTGAACCCCCCAAAGGGGCACTGCTCTTGGGTATGTTTGGAATAGCCCTTTTGAGACTAGGGTTTAGGTTGCTTCCAACGGGGGGTTTCATGGGAACCCATGATGGTATCATCGAAAGGATGATGTTCTAAGGAACCATGTTCAAACTTACCAGCAGCCGATGGTTCATTTGCAAGGGACATTGGGGACGAGCTTTAAGTTTCAATCAAAAATAAGGAGACACAAACACACACACACACACACACACACACACACACACACACACACACACACACACACCCACGAACGCACGCACCCACGCACGCACGCACGCACGCACGCACGCACGCACGCACGCACGCACGCACGCACGCACGCACGCACGCACGCACGCACGCACGCACGCACGCACGCACGCACGCACGCACGCACGCACGCACGCACGCACGCACGCACGCACGCACGCACGCACGCACGCACGCACGCACGCACGCACGCACGCACGCACGCACGCACGCACGCACGCACGCACGCACGCACGCACGCACGCACGCACGCACGCACGCACGCACGCACGCACGCACGCACGCACGCACGCACGCACGCACGCACGCACGCACGCACGCACGCACGCACACGCACGCACGCACGCACGCACGCACGCACGCACGCACGCACGCACGCACGCACGCACGCACGCACGCACGCACGCACGCACGCACGCACGCACGCACGCACGCACGCACGCACGCACGCACGCACCACGCACACACACACACACGCACACACACACACACACACATTGTCCATGTCCTTTCGGGGAACAAGTCATTTTGACCCTGGCTCATGTCTTGATGTGCCATTTTCGTTGCCTTTCTCCTTCTTGCCAGGGCAAACCTCCCATTTTCCAACGATGCATCTTTCCAGGAAACAAACGATCGAATCGGGAATCAACCCCTAGAGAAATGTCTCAATGTGCCGATTGCGCAACTTGTTTTATGTTAATATATATATATATATAGTATCAACCCTTCAAGGATGTTTGTCTCTGGTGTTTTTTGTTGACCTCAACATGACTCAGCACCAGATGCGGCACGTTTGCGTCATGTTCACCTAAAGGTGATCTCTTGAATTCATGCTTAACCTCCTCCATTCCAGCTTTTTGATATTTTTTGGAGATGGAGACAGCAAGATGATAGCGTGGAAGCAAGGAAGGATTCTTTCCTTCCTGGTCAGTGAGGTTGTGGGCCGCACTGTTGATATCCACCGAAGCCACTCAAGTCCAAGATGCCCTGAAGATGAGAACATGTTAAGTGCCGCGTATGACTTTCCCCTTTTGGTGCCAAAGCCCCAGTTCAAAGGATCCAACAATTCTTCTTTTTTCCGAGGTCACCGGATCCATTTGCAGAATACGTCTCAATTTTTGAGAGGGAAATCTACAGTAGGTGGACGAAATGCTGCACTACCTAAGAAACCCTGGCTTATGCTGATTCCCCTGCAAATACCAACAAGCTTGATTCATGGTTTCCCATAATTTTCAAAGTGGTGCAAACGGATTTCGCCCATGTCACTGTGCATCTTATCAAACGTTTGCCAAGGGTACCCTTTTCCAGACTAACATGGAAGCTCCCAGGATCCCTTTGGAAGACTTTCCATTTACAGACGCCTTCTGAAACCTTCCATGTTAGTCTGAGGGAGTGTGTCTCTTGCTACCTTCCATTTCCATTCTTTCCAGGGATCCGAATCTTTTCAGAAACCAGTGCAACGCAAGTGGTGTTTTTTTGTTTTCCCCGGGCATTCCGACGCTCCCGCCCGAGGAAAGGCCTGGCCTGCCTCGCTCGGTCGCGAGTCGGGCGAGTCGGTCGAGTCCGCAAGTGGCGCTGGAGACATGGGCGCGTCGTTTTTTTTTGTTTTTCTAATTTTGTTTTTGCTTGTGGTTTCGCTTTTAGAAAATACCCTAAAGGAGGTACCAAAGAGGGCACGGCCATATTCGAGAAATGGATGTTGGACCCGTGGTTTGGTAGTTGAAGCCGTTAAACGGTCAGGGGTCGCTATATGTTCCTCTTGGGTGGTTTTAAACATCACTTTGTTTGCCCATTGGGGGGAATGTAGGGAGGACTATTGGTAGTTAGCGGGAAGCCTGGTTTCAAGAATGACGGGGAACACCAGGTAGTTGAAGGGAAACCTGGTTTGAAGAATGGCTGGAAGAAACTCAACCAAAGTGAAGGGGGGTTCCTGAATTGGATGCCGGTGGAGTTTCTTGACCTGGATTTCGGACCACTTTTGGTTGGTAGTTGACATGCTGGTGCTCAGTAGGGAATGATCTTCCGGGTTTTGGGAATGAGCCGCAAGGGGATTCAACCATACGGATGGTTTATAGGGGTCATTCCAACTCGTTCCCTGCTGAGATCCAGCAAGTTGAAAGGAAGCCACAAAGAAAGCCCTCCTCCAGGGCCCTCAACGCTTCCCTGGTAGCATACCCTAGGAGTTTCTTGGACCCTAAAATAGGAGGGCCTCTAACCTTGAAAGCGCCTAGGCATAGACATAAGTTATAAGGGGCCGGCAAAGGAGTCAGACACACATTCCTTGGTCTTCACGGACCCTGAACAACCAGGGCTCAAAGCGGCCGGTTTTCCTTCCTGACACCACGATCCAAAAATCAAGAAGGGCCCGGTTCTTGCGGGTCCTTGGCAGAAGGATCCTTATGATCCTGACAAAACGTTGGGGCATGTTGCTTGGATGTTAGGACTTCAACTTTTTGCCAACTAATGGGTTTTCCGAATTAAACCAC